TTAATCTTCAAAAAATGTCTTCTCGCTTAACAGAGATCTAGAAGGCAGATCAAAAAGTGGGAAGGAGTCTTGCACAAGTGTGTATCAGAGGAGCAGGACCTCAGTGCACAAGAGCACTGCTGGCACCAATGCTTCAGCAGTAACCTTTGCTTACTCCTTTATTGCTGAGATGTTTTACAAAGTCCTACACAGTGCTGCCAAAGGTCAGCCCATATAAACTCAAACCCACACTTCATAAAACTTATAAAACCCAAAACAATTTTGTCAAGTGATCAAAATAAAAGTTAAAAAGCCCTCATAAGCAGTCACAGGCTGCAATTGTGCTCCCATGGTATTACTTCCATCTGGTAATCCAGTTGGGGACTATGTTTAAAATATGACCACGGTCTCCTTCCCCATGCCCTTCACTGAAAGTGCAGCCCCTGGAGCTGCTGAGGTGACATGCAGGGGGATAGTCACAGTCCTCCTGCTGATGGAAGAAGTTTCTGCTTCACTGGTACCAAGCCCCACACAGGCTCCCAAACCAAGTCCACCCTTCTGGAGACCTCCACCACTCTGTTGACTGCTGATGGCTGAATTAATGTGGCTACCAAGTAGAAACCTCTGGTGGGAGATGGAGAGAAATAATGAAGGGTGTGAGAAATCTTAATAACACTACTAAAAAAGAGAAATGGTTTGTCATAACTCATATTCAGCAACCCACTACTCCTACTCAGTCCTAATACAGGTACCTGTCATTACTGCAAGTTAAACACTGAAAATAACATCTCATGAAATACCAGACTAGCGTTTGGAGATTCAGTGGGCAGAAATTTTATCTCCAGACACAAATTCTTCCCCTCTCTTTAAAGTCACAGTAAAAATTCTAAGCCTGGAGTAGATTTAATATATTTTGAGGACAGAAGCAATGTATCATAGTCCTCTAGCATGACCTTCCCATAACACAGTCCAGTAATTTCATCTTAAAATTCCTACATTAAAGCCTAAGGCATGTCTCTAAACTGGGCTGTGTATCTTAGAAAGATAGGCAATGTCTATTTTTGAAAACCAAATTATCTTTAATGCACTGGTTCCTTCCTTTTTTCCTAACACTGGTTTTACTCAAGCAGTTTGCTTTTGCAATTACACTTTACTACAACAGCAAAATGATGACAAAAAAATGGCCCAATTATTTCCTTCATTTTCATCTGAAAATTGCTCAGCTGCTCCTACATTAGCCATGAAACCACAGACGTCAGTGAACCCAGACCTGTACACAAAAAAACCCAACATCATAACTAGCTTCAACTTTGTTCTGTTACCAGGAAACTAAATGAATAAAGAAGCCAAAAATCTCAAGAAGTTTCTTCCATGGGACTTCAACAGTGTAGTCAGCTACGGCTTTGTTTCCACCCTTACATCAGGAAAAGTTTTACTGTTGTGATAAATGGGCTGCAGATGAAGGATTTCCTCCAATATCCAGTTTAGTGTGTTTCAGAAGTCAAACAAAATCATAAAGAAAAATAAAGATGCACTAAGACAGCAATAAGAGATTCTCAGCAAAACATAACAGCTGGCATTTTATTAGTTTTACTCACCAACTGGTTGCTCTTGAAACCTCTGCAAGAAACAAACACCCTACACTATGGATTTTGAATCTTCCCCTGAACTAGAACTAGGGAAAACACAGAGGAGCTGCCTGACTCCCACCCAGCTGCTTTAGCCTCAACTCTGAGCTCCTTTCTGGGGCTTTTATTTCTTGGAGATATATATATATGTGTGTGTGATATTGTCTCCATAAAAAGCTGATACTTAGCTTGTAAGTAGCCTAGAAACCAAAGATAATTTTGAATTCTTCATAACTTCCAAACAGAGATGAAAGAAAAATTTTCCTAAGCCTCCGGTGCAAAAACTAACAGAATGAAAACTGGGATGTTGACTGCTAACACAGATTAACATGAAAAAAACCCACCCAGGTCAGCTAGACATAGAAGGTGGTCAGATTCCCTTTCTGTGCATGGTGTCGACCTAAACTGTTTTGTTGGTTTTTGTTTTTTTTCTGAAAGTCTTTACAATTGCAACTTCTGCAGATACCATAGTTCTCAGTAGGCTTTGCCTGCAAGAGTCTTATTGGGCTACTGAAAGTTGAGGATCACAGGTATATCAGCTCTTAACAATCCACTGTAATCTTTTTTCCCCACAAGGCATGCAATAAGATAAACTAAAAACTCAGATTGCCATATCTTTGAGCACATTTCAAACGTCTTAGATCACAGACCAGTTAAAATCACATCCTTTGAGCAGTTTATCTCCAATCCTCTTAAGCTGCACATCTTCAAGGTTAATGCATTACTGCCATTTTTCTTTATATTTCAACAATTTTTAAACATGAAACCCCACTTAAATATATATATATAAATATATGATAGCATAAATAAGTAAATATACAGAATACTGAAAAAAACCCATCACACATCTCAATCATCATGATTGAGACTAAAAATGGAATATCTGAAGCATCACTAACATACACTTATTTTTTAGTCTAAATATTTAAGGACTATACAACTTATTGAAAAATTAAAGATAAGAGAATTGAAGAACAATGTCAAATATATCTTCTAAATTCCTCATTAAGTGTCCTCAGTCATATTTCAAAAGATTCTAAATATTCATAACTTTTCAAAACTATTGGTCATTAATTGTTTCCACAAGTTGTTTTAGTGGTGCAGTGGCAATTAAAAAAAAAAAAAAAGCTGAACAGAAGTTTCATTTCATCCATGAATGAGTTAACAAAGGAGAAATGCAGATAATAACTGAACAATTTACGGTCATTTCTGAAGGAGGGGATATGCAACAGAAAGGGAAATAAATAGAAAACATAAAACCTGCAGAGAAAAACGCAACAAACTGATATATTCAGTGTAAACTAAACATCTCGTCTCTCTGGACAAAAATGATCCCAGCTATTCCCAAACCAGGAATTTCCTACAACTATCTCATGTACAGCACAGCAAGTGAACTTGAGGGATATGTACTGACTGAATAGCACTCCAGAGAAAGCTCATATCTGATGGAGATATGGCTCTATAAAATAGCACTGGCAATTTGAAAACAGGAGTAACAGCAAGGGATGGAAAATAAAAATAGTGTCTATGTATGGTTCAAATATTCTGTTTACAGTGGACCAGGAGTGGAGTCTAGCAAGATTTAAGGTTTACTGTCATTAACACAGGAGAAGAGCTGGACATGGGGACAGGACAGTGGCCTGCACAAAAAGCCTGGCCAGAAGATAGAGTGAAGAACCTGCTGCAGGTGTGCAATAGATACAGAGGAGGATGTGTTTCTCAAATGATTCAAACATGGTAAAGGACAGAAAACATCACAAAGGGCAGGTATGTTTTTCATCTCTCTGAAATTAAACAATGTACCAAAGAGGTAAAAATGCTTGCAAGCCAACATACCACTAAACTTCTATCATCTTCTGCAAGTTCCTAAGATAATTGGTTTTATTTGTATTTTAAAAATAATTTCCTTTTCAATTAGATATAAATGTATTCATTGGCTTTCATCAGAAAAATCTGTAGTAAAAACTTCAAGTACAGCTAGATTAATGGCAGGATATCCTTTAAGATTCATAAAATATAAACCAGAAGTTGATTAGACATAGTGGAGCTTAAGAAAAACTGAATCCAAATGCCCATTAGCCAAATAAGGTATTGTCCTGTCTCAATTTCCACTTCTTTATGTTTTCATGTGCTCTGCTCTCTCAGTACTGTCAGTGGTGACAATAGGGAGGTGGCCAGATAAGGAAACAGTATTACCATAGCTGCACTAATCTTTATTTTCGTAATATATACTTTTCTGATAAATAAAGAAATCAACACTCAATTGTAAATGAATACAGCATGGAATCTTATTGTCAGTTCTCCTTTAAACAGGAAAAATAAGAAACAAGTGAAAACTGAAAATTCTATTGTATGATCTGAATATGCTTTAAGTATTTCTGTTAATTTCTGACAGTAGCCTTCTCTCTTTGGCCCCACATTACCTGCATTCTAGAGATAGAATTTTTATCTTTTTTAAAGAAATATAAATTGATGCACAGTTCACTGAGGACCTGATTTCCAGCTCAAGGCTGGTGTGCACTAGCAATTCATGGAATGTAATGGCTGGTGTCATACAGAGGGTCAGACCATGATCTTGTGGTCTCTTCTGGCTTTTACTCAAGGACTTATCACAAAATTTTGCAGCTAATGTCCTTGGAAGTGAACTCTATTTCCATTTAAATGCAGAACTATAAGGTGACAATGAGGCTATGCACACATCTGACTGAAAGCTGGAAGGTAACAAAAGAGAACACTCGGGATAATAAAAAGCAGCTGCAGAAGGAAAGTTTTAAAGTAACAGTGCACACACTTAAAATAAATGTGCTGGACAATATTTTTACAAAGTTAGGAAAGAAAAAAATCTGGAGTGTTTACAGGGCTGCAGAACTTTTTAGGGTTAAGTGTGCTTCAGTCCAGAAAGTAAGTGAGCAAGAGAGCCCAGAGAGCGAGCAGCAGACAGACAGACAGACACGCTATGGTGCACAAAGACAGAATGTTGTAGCGTGAAGGGTCATTGCCAGGATCTGCATATCCTGACACAGCTACAGGAGCACACATTATAGTGCTGGAGCAGCGAATCAATTAACCCTCTCCGTCTCATTTCCAGCCAAACCCCCCCACCCACTCCCCTCCCTGCTTTTCAAACACTGGAGCTGGATACGCTGGAAGGAGTCAATCAACGAACACGGATAGCAGCAAACTGCGAGCTTTGCTTATGAACAAAGAGAGAACTGCACACGGACTCTGCTGATCACCCAAGCAGAATCAAAAAAGAATAGAAGTTAGAGGACAGCAAAAGAGAATACAATCTTATTTCTATCCTTTTTACCTATGGTAAGAATTATTCTTCTCCTCCATTTCAGAGTTGAAGAAAAGACTTGGATGAGAAGAAAATACAGTTTTCCCAAGTATAAATTCTTAATCTTCATTATAGAAGAAATGTGCTAAATAAAAGCACACGAAGACATAAGCTTCAGAAATATTATAAAAGCCAAAAGCAAATGAACAACTTGTTTTCCAGAAAGTAGTGAAAAATCTCAACTTTCACCATATGACAAAAAAGAAAATTATAAAGGATCTTCCTGGATGCTAATTGAACTCTACTAAAATGCAAGAGAAAGAGGTAAGGCTCTCTTCACCTGAAAACTGCAACACATCAAATCTTCTCAGGCACTGAGCATTTGTTCAGCTTAATGCCAGGACAGCTGTCTGGGTCTCTGCTTGAAGGGGGAAATGCAAGCCTTAAGTCTTTAACAGAGTTGACAGAGAGAGAGAGAAAGAAAGACAGAGGGAGAGAACGGGCTGTGCTTAATAAAAGCCTTGCTCAGATTACAAAAACAAGCGTTTTATTCACCCCCACCCCTTCAAGTAATGGGTAAATTTAGATGTCTCAGTTCGATAAATCTCTACGGTCCCCTTGAGACTGTCAGCAGTGTTTTATTGTCGGCAGCTTCCTGACCCTCACCTGATAAATTAGGAATTGCTGAGATTAAAACGGAAACCTCATACATAATTTCTGAAGATATTTTTGGGGTTACCCTCTTAGGAGAAACAGGATTCTTAATAAGGGGAAATATGGGAACTGCTGTCTGCCTACGCACATGCTGCTGGAGACTAGACACTCGGGAGAGGAGGAGTTGCACATACACAACTCGAGCATCTGCCTCTGCATCAGTTTGTACTCAGAAGGAGCAAATCTACATAGACTGCACCTAAAGGGAATAGCTTCACATTCAGATTCATCTATCACTCTTTACTGCTGCAGGAAAAACGGAAAAAAAGGAAGCTAACGCACTGCTTATTTTTTCCTTATAATCTTCTGAAATCTGGACATTGCTATAAAGGGGAGATTAGACTCCTGACAGAAATGGACACAAGAGAGGACTTTCATTTTTAAAACTCTTTTGTGCTCGACAAGGCACAGAATAAAAAAATTGGATACCAGCTCGGACATGGTTATAGTATCTCAAAATAGCAGATGACCAGTTCACTATACTGACCATGCTGGCCTTTCTTCAGGACCATCCTGGACCAGAGAGGAACAGAGAACTCTTACACTGTACGGAACTCCTGCGCAAAATAGAGCTCCTGAAGACGTTCCACTGCACACAAAAATGTCCCATCCTTTACAGTCCTTGAACAGATTTGGAGCTGGCAGCGGATCTTTGTCACCTCTCTCAGTAACAGGAGCACCCAAGCAGGACTACCTAAGTGAGGAGCAAGGAAACAAAGTGCACTGGGCAGCACTGCTGATCCTCCTGGTGATAATCCCCACCATTGGGGGGAACATACTTGTCATTCTGGCAGTGTCCCTGGAGAAAAAGTTGCAATACGCTACCAACTACTTTCTGACTTCCTTGGCGGTGGCAGATTTGCTTGTGGGTCTGTTTGTGATGCCAATTGCCCTTCTCATAGTATTATTTGGTAAGTGCAGCATGTTTGTTTCATCGCGTTTGCATATAGCGTACAATTCTGGGAGGTCTAATTTAAACAGAAAAGTTGTTTACTTTCCGGCACTACAATTTAAAAAATCACTTGGATGAGGGCTGCTAAATCTTCTCTCCCTCTCACCTTAATAGAGATTAATCTCTTTATGGGAAGTACAACTATGTAACCATGTAACAAACAACTTTGAAACAAACCATTCAAAAATCATCCAAGATTTAAAAATATTCAAACAGGAGCTGAAGTACAGGGAATTATATTTTGTACAGTGTAATATAATTTTTAACAACATCAGCACAATACTGGTATTTGTTATATTATATTAAACTAATTGCAGGCAATATTTTCTTTAGAAACTTGAAATCAAGGCTAGGTATCTGTTCAGTACACTGAACAGGTTTTGAACTTTCTATGAGTAAAGCATCTGATTTTACCTGAGTATTGACTCCATGAGCAGTCATATATTTACATGATCAGTCAGAGCTGGTCCCTGGCATCATCAGTGACAACAAACTTTACCAGTACCAGTTTCAGAGAAAGTGATTTTCTCCCACCCTGGGGAAAGCCACAGGTTCATAAGACATCACAATTAAATCGTCTGTCAAGCCAAGGAAGCCTCAGTCCATGTATCTGATGTTTGAGATACGTGTTTATCATTTAGTCTGCTTCATATGAAATAAAATAGGTCTTTTTCACATGAACAAACATTGGATGTGACATTTTCTTTCTCATTAGTCCTTACAGAACAAGCATGATTTTTCCACAGCCTCTCACACCCAGCTTTATTTGAGATACTGCTTCTGACAACTAGAGGCAACTCCATGGGAAAGTCTCTTTTACTGCTAAATTTTCTTTAAGAATACATTTTAAATTGTTTATTTTCGTATCATAAATGTTAAAAAATCAATCAAAAATCAAAACGTTTTTCAGTAAACTTAAAGACTGATATAATTACCTTTAAGGTTCTAAGAAAGGCTGAAGGAGTTCATTTTTCCTAGACTAGACTCTGAAGAGTTGCCTGAGCAACAAGGAAACACAATCATAAACTCTATTTCAGAAAGGCCATCAGTAGCTTCTGTTTGCTACAGAAAACTGGTATCACTTTATCAACAAATGTGTTTATTCATTACATGCTTTGAGAATTTCTGTGTGTTACAGACTTCTTCCTAAACAGAAGTGTGAACCGGAGGCCAAAATTCAGTGTTGAGATCAAAGAATTGCGATTTTTTTTTTTAAGCAACAGTTTCTAAAAAGAAAACTGAAGCTACATAACTGAGGCAGTGATTTCTAACTCAAAACCCCAGTCACCTACAGAAAACATTGGTATGTCATGTATGTGCACATGTAAGGGAGGCAGGAAGCAGATACACATCTCCATACTTACACATGGATGCTGTAACTGCTTAGTGCCTGCCTCATTACTAACAACAACAAAGCTACTAGCCATAAAAAGTACTAGTACTGACTAGCAATCAATATAAAGTGAAGGCAAATTCTGCATTTTGTGCAGTAGGTTTTTGGTAGTGGTGGAGTTTTCTTGTTTTGGATTTTTTTTATTATTATTTTCATTCTGCTGAAATAACGAATCTTTCCTTTATAACTTCATAAGGACTCTATTGCTCCTTAATCTCTCAATTAATCCACTGCTAAACCCTGGTTACAACAATTTAAAGCATGCTAGGAATCTTAATTCAAAAGTCAAACAAAAATATCTTTCATAGTGCAAGAAATTTACCAGAAAGTAGTAAAATCAGTTATAATTAATTAAGACCACAACCCGCCTTCCACACAACAGTGGTTAAAACTGAAATGTCTTGCACACAAGTCTCTCTTTGGCAGCCAACCAGAAAAACTGCTTTGCCTCTTCACCGACTGGGAGAAGATGCTGAGGTGTTTATAGAAGTTCAAAGCATGAGCAAAACATGAAGAGTTACTGGAATGAAGACAGAACAGACATTAAATACGTAACAAGTCTAAATCTTGAAGCTACATTAGCCAGATAACTACTTGAACAAAGAATAGTCATTGACAGCCAGACAGCAAACTAAATCCAGCCTCCTGGCACCTCCACACAGGAATGTTTCCATAATAATGAAAGAGCTGGGTGCAGCTTCTAGATACAGAGTACAAATATTATGCTTCCGATTTGGGATTGATATCTAATTATGTGGAGATTTGAAGGAAAAGGTGTGAACTAAAGTGTGATCATATTAAAATCCTGACTGTACAAACTAATGTGTCACAGGGTGTGACAAAAATCAAAATCTGCTACAGACATTGGCTCTACACCCTGACAGAACATTCATCAAAATTTTTTCAGAAATGGACTATGAATAATAATAATAAATATTGGACTATGAATAATAATAATAAAGAGCTGCCCTTTTTAAAAGTAAGTAAATAAATGAATCTGTAAACTCACTTGCAGGTATAATGCCATGAGCAGCACATGATTTATTCTCAGCAGAGCAACCAAAATGTACTCTGGTACAAACATACACAGCAGTTTTAATTTACGAGCATGAGTGTCAGAATACATAAACATTTCATAGCTTTTATAGCTTGCTAAATTCTTCTCATTTCTTAAAAAAACCCAAGAAGATAAAATCTAGTAGATAACTGCATTCTCTGCCATCCAGCTTTCAAAGCAGCTACCCAAATTTCTAACACTCAGAACTACTGAAATTCATTGAATAGTGAAATTTGCAAACAAACTTGAGAGATCCTCCCATTTGCAAAGCCTGCAGCAGGAAGAAGTCTGATGTCCACACCTTGGTGGGCAATGGGCTACTTGAAGGCAACACATGTACCATCTTTTAAAATACATTCTCTCCTCCCAATAATTGTCCACTTAAAATCAGAAAGTAATGCTGATCATCCTAGGTTGCAAACCATTCTTTTAATCTATCACAAACAAGCAGTACTAATCTTCCCCCATTACTGATGATGAACCACAACAAATTTTCAATTCTTGCTTGTGCAAACTGCCAGAGAAAACTTTAATTGGGGACTACTTTCCAAAATCTCAAATCTAAAGATAAGTAAGAAAACAAGAGTTTATCAGAAAGTAAGCCTAATTGAAAAAATACTTTGATTAAATTATAAAAAACTAGAGAACAGCCTGGAGACACCAGGCCTTGGCAGCCCATGGAGACAAGTACTGCATACACAGCTACAGACACACACCAGTGTCACGACTGAAGCTTAGGCTTAAAGGAGCTGGTGACTGAAAATATCTATTTCCTTCTCAGCAATAGCATCATTATCTAACAAAAACAAAAACTCTTTACAGGTAACACATTTCTGCAGCCCTTACAGCAGAAGAACAAATGGTTTTCAAGTCTATTTAAAGACTTCTCTCAATCATACTTAGACATTTACATAAGCAGTGCTTTCTCTTAAGCTTTCCAAAAACATTTTGGCTTACAGCAAGAGCAGTTCTTCTATACGGTACTTTGTTTTAAGGATTACACATTTCCAAGGTATTTCCTATAAATAAAGCTTTTCTTAAATAAAGATTAATCAAGGGTAGACAGTTGCAGTAAAAGCCCATTTTACTTCTCTTAGAGTGCAAGACAAATCTTAAAGTACGTATTCGGTTTTATTTTGACTCAAAATAAGCAAAATCTGCAACAGCAGCACTGCTGCAGTGCTGGGAGAATCTGAGTCAAGGTTTGTTGGAAGAAGGAATTTCTTTTTAACTTACACCACTTGACAGTTGGAGAAATCAGACAAATTTTCAGGCAGGCATCTTTGTCAGATAACCAAGGCATTTAAAAATCCAATCCCTATTAACTCCCAAGAAAAATGGGAGTGGAGAATCTCTGCCCTGTAAATGCTCTAGTCTGCTTCCACAATGAAGACCTACAGCAGGAGAGTCAGAACAGTCCAAACTAAGCATGACCTGCTAAGGGCTTTGTATCACTGCTTGACAGGACATATTCACTTTACGTTCTGAATTATAAAGTGGGACAACAACCCAGCAGGTCACCATCGTGTTCAAGGGTCAGAGAAGCTTTCTGAATCATGAAAGGAAATTAATATTCTTTTATTTCCCTACTCCTAAACGAATAGAATAGGCCAACAGTTACAGACAGCACCATCACCAGAAAAGCACAAGAATTCAGCCCAGAGCATTGCTTCAAACAACAGGCACAAAGCTTCTAATGCAGGTGTAACCTACAAATTAAAGTAAGTTATATCAAAATACACCACAGAATGAATCCTAGATAACTATGTGACTCTTCTGGACTTCAAAGTATCCGTTTCATGATATTGGTTTCATTTAAATAATAACCATAATCTTCAGTTCTTATCAGTTACTGCATTTAAAGTTTACTTTGATTTTGTTTGGACAAAAACCAGCATCTCTTACACACAAATGCAGCAGGATATAATGCCATAATCATGAATGTGATAACCTACTGCCTTCTGCACCCAGTTCAAAACTAGACCAAAAAAAAAAAGAAAATAGAAAGCTTTCTCTGTTCAGTTGCACTTGTCAACTCACAAAAGCTCTTACAACTCAAAAATGTACAAGACTGCTTTGTATTAGAATACTGTCTAAATGTATCTGTATTTCAAAAAAGCAAAAGGGCCTTTTGTTGCAAAGTATTTTCTTTTGCAAACAGTAAATTAACTAAAAAAGGAAAGACTTCTTACACTGGGATTCTCCAGAACTCAAAGCAGTTATAATCCAGGGAATGGCATGCGAGTATACTCTCCAAAAGAAGTATTAGCTGCTCACTTGAAATCCAGCTGTGTTATCTGCCATCCTCCAAGCTGTAGAACACACTTTCTATTGTTCATGTTTTATCTGAACTAATCCTTCATCACAAAGTCAAAAGAAGCTGACAGTTTTCTGGAGTGAGCAAAAACATTTCAAGCCCATCAAATCAGTTACTTCTTTTAACTGTATTTTTTTAATTACAGCTCGTTACATGAGCCACAATACGTTTTGGTTTTCTTTTTAAAGGAAATATGTTTCAGAAATGCACTGTACCTTACTGCCAGCCAGAAGTCTAGGCATGAAAATTAAAGATGAGTAAATATTTATAATTTACTAATTACAACTTTCTCATACCTGCCTGACAGACTAAGTTTGTTGAACCATAATTTCAATGATAGAATCTATTTTAGGAAATAATTATGGTAGATACTAAACTTTTGTGGTTAATAAATTGAAAGCAGACTGCCTCTTTCCCTTCTGCCTCACTGCCTACGCCATTCTCACCTGGAGTCCTCTGCTTTGGCTGAGGTTCAGTTCAGGGCTCCATCCATCCATTCTCTTTGTTAAACACAGAAGATTTCCCAGCACAGGTAAGAGTGTAGACAAGTACTTGCTATGTTTGTCTTCATAAAATTTTCCATCCACTGGAGTTTATAATTCAAATCAAAGTAACACGGATACATTTCCATGTATCTAGTCATGTTAAGAAACATGTTTTAATCTCAAATGACTGCAATATCAATGTGGTATCAATATGTGACAAGACTGAACATTATAAAAGTCCAGTTCATTTGGTGTTCTCAGCAAGCAGGTCTATTTATGCTGGCCAAGAAATTAAAAACAATCTGATTTATTAGAAATGCAATTTCCCCCCCCAGTTGTCATTCAACAAAGAACAGATTTCCCTGGCAATCCTATTATTGTACTTCTTGATTGAGTACAGCTGAATTTTATAAGGGAGGAAAATACTTTTAGTAGATCAGATTCTACCATGAGAAACAGAAAAATCTTCCTTGTTCACACATTCTTCTCTAGGACTACAGAACATCCTTACAGACACACAAGACTAAAGTGCACCTCAAACTGAACACTGCTCACACTGGATTGCAATAGAAGTCACTTCTGAGTAAAAAGAGACCAGTTAAAAAAAATAATCAGAGTTCCATCAAAGTTCATTTGGTATTGCAGACGTTGATAGGGAGACACAGATCTCAAAAATACAAGCCTTTTGGAAATCTGAACACTATAAAACCTTTATCTTGGCATAGTGCAGTTGACAGACTCTATGTTTGCTATTAAGATTAATATTAAGGACAGGTAACGATTCTAAGAAACAGGATGCCAGACTTAAAATCTAAACCATGGTTCTTGGGGAAACAAAAAAAAAGGACATGCACAAAAATGTTCAAGTTTTATAAAATCATTACTGAGACAGAAAGCCCTACCCTGTCACATTAGTGACACATCACTGTCACTGGCCAAGTGATACAGCAAACTCATTTTAAAGATGTGCGAACAAGATTCTTCAATACCACTGCTAAGATTCAATAGTGGTTCTATAATGACTAGCTAATACTTTGGTTATGATTCATTATCTCCTCCATTTAATATAACCTTGAATCATAGGACTATCAAGCAGAAACAGCTGAATATAATCATTTAACAGCAGGTTCACAAGAACCAAACAGCCATGGTCCATTTTTTATAAACTTTTTAATCCAGAGTCCTTGCCACAAAAGGACAAAAAGACAGAGAAAGGTTTAGAGTACACAAGTAGCTTGATGAATATGATGGCAGCAGCCATGGCAGCTAGGAACTAAAATATAAGACAGAACCCATCTGAGGCAGTGACAAAGCTCAGTCGCTATAGTACTATGAACTTTTCAAAGATACTGATGTCATAGGAAAATGACACACTGAAAGTTTTCAAAAAGCTTGGATTCTAATGAGTTTTTTCTTCTCTTTCAGACAATACCTGGCCTTTACCAACAGCCTTGTGTCCTATCTGGCTGTTCCTTGATGTCCTCTTTTCCACAGCTTCCATCATGCACCTCTGTGCCATCTCCCTGGACCGCTACATTGCGATAAAAAAGCCAATCCAGGCCAGCCAGTACAATTCATGGGCTACAACAATCATCAAAATCATCGTGGTTTGGCTCATTTCAATAGGTATGTGAGACCTGGAGACTGGAAAAGGAACACAGAAGCTTTTCATGTCCAAAACAATAGGTGGAATTGGGGACAACAGAAAATTTGGCCAAGTGTATTGATTGGAGGACCATAACACTCAGGCTGGCCAAAGTCCACCTCTTGGATCATACGTAACTACATCATAAAAATCTGCTTGAACCACTGCTCCTTATTAGGCTCACCAGAAAGGCCAAGGATTGAGTCAGAGTATTAATCATCACTCTTCTTCATGGTCCTGAAAGTTCAAAAATCAGAAGACAATATCTTCATGCATAGTATGTCTCCTAGGAAAGCAAGATTTCATGTTCCTGTGGTACTGTATTTTGTCCTAAACACAATCTGAAGCCTTGAATAGATGTTGGTAAAATTCTGTGCCACATAAAGGAAGTACAAAAGGGTTACTTATTTATAGCAAAGATATAAATGAGTGGCTGGTAACATCCAGGCTAACACTGGAGGCTAAGACAGCATATAGAAAGGTTAATGTCTAATAAAAAAAAAAACCCAAATAATCAAAAAAACAAACCCCGAACAGTTTATATGAAGAAGTTTATAACAACATACAAACTTCTGTGATATCAGTGTCTCTAAGATGTGGCACCTCATCTGTCTTTAATGCTTAAAAAATGAAACAGTTAAATGAGCTAAGGAAGCGAAAACATTTAATTCAAATAACTTAATACATGCTCCAGACAGCCTTAGTGTATGGTCTTGCACAATATGTTCTGTGTGCAAGACCAAACAAAATTATTCTGCATTATTAAGACAAATGATGCAAAGGAGAGTGGGTACATCCACTTTCTTGGCTGAGGCAAACCCCAAATTTCTGAGTTGAAAAAAATTCTGGAAGCGCTGTGATGATAGGAGACAAGATGCTATTCTATCACCTATTCTATCACCAACCCCCTCCCCCTCCCAAAAAAAAAAAACTTAGCATGACAAGACACTCACAAGCTGACCTTTTAATGTGCGATTTATTGCCATTAAACAGAGCTGTACTTTTCAATTTCTTTTTATCTAACATAAAACTACTCTGCAGCTGAGCCAGATTCTCCAAATCAAAGGTTAATTTGGTTCAATCTTCATTTTAAATGCTTGTTGTATCTGAACGTGTGCTTCTAATTAAGAAAGGGATCAAGTTGCTGAAGGGTAACCCATTTGCTCTTGCTGCTTTAAACCAACTTCAGTTAGCAGAGTAGAAAAGGAATACAGTAAATCCCTATATCTCATTAAGTGGTATCAGAAAACAGCACAAATCACCTTCACCAGACAGCAAGGAACCTGTTGTTTTTGTTGTAATGTCAGACTGCTGGCAAATGAAGTGCTGACTGTAATTTAGTGGTTATAAAAATTCATTTAAAAGACAAGACTGCTAACGTTTTTTTAAAACGAGTGGTGAATTACAGAGCTAGCCAGCCTCATTTAAACACTCCTAAATATGCAAGAGACTTTAAACAACAAATCCATCTCAAACACACACTGAATAATTCTGGCAACTATTTAGCTACTTGTATATAAGAAAGAGTCAAGCAGGACGAAAAAAATCAGCTGTCTCTGTTTAGTCACTTGATGTGGTTAATAGAAGAGAGAAAGACAAGATTTATGTATTTACAAAACTGCCCTTCAGAAAGTGCAAAAGCTACCCTGGAGAAGAGAAAAAAAAAGGGGAAGATGGCATTACAGAAACATATTTTACTGGAGGAAAAGCCATACTAATTCTAATAATTAGAGTCAAAGCAATTTATGTGTTTTACACTTGAGAAGTTGGCTACTTTATCCTGTTTCCTCAATCACTAGGGGTTAGGCCCAATCTCCTTACAAAGGGCACTCTGTTAAAGTTCAGCCTGCCAAGTCTTACAAAGTACTGTTTGCCCAATTACCCACGTGATGCTCTCAACACTTCACATTGTGTCCATCACTCCCTGCCTGCTCCAGAGCTCAGGAATTACCTTTCTTTAGAAACCCTGAGGCTTCAGGCTCAGTGAAGCGATCACAAGCAATTACCCTCTGCTGAAGCACTTGTTTTTTCTCCTACAGGCATTGCAATTCCAGTCCCTATCAGAGGCATTGAGGATGGAAATGGCAACTCTACAAACATCACGTGTCTCCTGACGCCTGATCGTTTTCATGACTTCATTCTGTACGGATCAGTGGCTGCCTTCTTCATTCCCCTGGCTATCATGATCGTCACTTATTTCCTGACAATCCAAGTGCTGCGCAAAAAGGCCTATTTGATCAACAAGCCGCCGCAGCGCTTCATCTGGTCAACAGTGTCCACAGTCTTTCAGCGTGACACAACACCTGCCTCCTCACCAGAAAAGGTGGCCATGCTCAATGGCTCCAGAAAGGACCAGACTTTGTCCAGTGACATGCCTATCTGCAGGACATCCACGATTGGGAGGAAGTCCATGCAAACGATAACCAATGAACAAAGGGCGTCAAAAGTTCTGGGGATTGTATTTTTTCTTTTCTTGCTGATGTGGTGCCCGTTCTTCATAACAAACATCAGCTCAGTTCTGTGCAACTCCTGCAACAAGGAGGTCTTTCAAAAGCTTTTGGAGATATTTGTTTGGATAGGGTATGTATCCTCAGGAGTGAACCCTCTAGTATATACACTCTTCAACAAAACATTTAGGGAGGCTTTCAGCAGGTACATCACTTGCAACTATCGGACCACAAAGCCTATCAAGGCCCTTCGGAGGCGATCCAGCAGGATCTCTTTCAGAAGCTCTGTAGCAGAAAATTCCAAGCTCTTTGTCATGAATGGGATGAGAAATGGGATTAACCCCATTATGTACCAGAGCCCAATGAGGCTGAAAAGCTCACCCATCCAAGCATCATCGGCCATTCTGCTGGACACGTTGTTGCTCACTGAGAATGAGGTTGATAAAACAGAAGAACAAGTCAGCTATGTATAGTGGAATGGCAGCCATGTCCATGCAGCATTACTGTATGTATTATTCTAGATAACTGCACTGTAAGAGGGTATAAATACTACTGTTTTCTGTTATTTATGCAAGCAATATCTTATAAATTTATATTAATTCCTCTCCTCCAAAGTATACTCTACTTTAACCCCAACCCCATGGTGGCAACTACAATTTCATGCCATAACAAATGACTCATGCAGAACTGTAACCTAAGGAAGAGGGAAAAAAATAAAAACTAAATCAGTTTAAGTATCTGACTTCAATTCTCACCACCTTCAGTCTCTTCAAAGCACCTCTTTATAAGAAAAGCATTTCTGCACAAACACTAACATTTGCTCTGGCAAGAAGACAAAACTTTGTAGGTTGATGTTTTACAATGGAAATAGCAGAGGGATATAAGCTCACTGGTTTTAATTTAAATCTCTGTAAACAGACCAGCAAACAAGCTCACTGCTTTCCCTCCTACAGATATATTCCTCTGCTGAGACTGAGTATCCATCCACATAGGAGTTTTCCTTGCTCTCTGAAGGTTTGTAAATCACAAGCAGAATCACTCACTCCAGAGACCAATGTACAAGCCCACTCCATAAGGCAGGATTAAAAATTCCATCTATGGAAATTATTCCTTTACTGTAGGGATGGGCAGAATATTTCACCCATCTGAATTTCATCTCCATTACATTCACATACCTGTAAGCTCAGTGTTGCCAGATTATTTACAGAAAACTACCCTTTTTTCTTTTCATACTAAGAAAATGAATTATTTAATCAAAATAACACAATACACAATCAATGATCATAAGAAAACCAGGATACACAATGCCTGGAACATCCCTATCATTTACATGAACAAGCTTCCTTTTTAATGGCCCTGGAAACTTCAGAGAAAGCCTCACCTCATCCAACGTAGTTCACAAAAAGTAGAGAAATCACAGACAGAAGAGCTACTTCACAAGAAAATAAGAGCAAATACTTAAGAGATAGCAGAGACAACAGTAATGCCTACACCTGCACGTATTCACAGTTTAGCTGAGCTCAAAATGATTTAATTGGACTAATGGCCAATTACAGGTCCCAATTTGCACTCTCTCAAACATGCTCAAGACTTCAGTATGAGCACAAAATTAATAGAAAGAATTGGTCCTCACAATCCGTAAAAAGCTGCCAGAGTCTGTTATTTGGGAAATCAGAAACTTCTGAAAGCTCCAGACTCTTTGGGAAAGGAAATCTGATTTCCCCGAAGTACTGGAATTCTTACAGCAAGCAGCCAGCTCACCAGTTTTTTCAATAGTTTCCATTTACAGTAAAATTTTCAGCTTGGGCTTTTGTTTTCATTTTTAATATTTTCAGCATTCTTCAGTTACACTAAAATTATGTACAGCAAAAGGCTCAAGATTTTTTCCTCTGCAGAAAGTACTAAAGATAACATGTCCTTCCAGCCTTTATTTATATATATTTAATTTAAAACACATGCAAGCTCAAAACAGAGCCCACTGTAACAACTGCCAGAGTTTCAGGCAAATGCATTAAAAATACATCCAAGGTACTTTCAGTAAGTTGTCTCCTCCCTCTGCTTTTTGGTGATAATCACTAGCCACTTAAATCAGAGTAAATTCTAACTGTTCTCCCACCTCTTCACTTAATCAAAATTTCTTTAAGAAGATTCTGTAGTTAAAAGCCAGAATGGATAAACTGTCATAGCTGTAAAAGACACACTTAAAAATATTTGAGAATCAAATGCTTTTAATAAGATCTAGAATACTTTGAAGCTCAAACAGGAAGGGAATAGGAATCAAAAAAAACAACCCCCTTAAACTTCCAGGTATGTCACTGAAAACATCACACAGCAGTGCCTTATTTAACCCAGAGCTTTGGAACCAGGTGAAGGTGCAATCACACCGATGCACAGAGTGATCTTAGCAAAAATCTTAAAAGCACAATTTGCAATGCAGGATCCGACCTTAATGAGCAGTAACACCAAAAGGCAAACACCATTCCTGCGGGGTTATTGCTCAGCAGTCAGAAAGCAAGAAGCAGTACCTTTGAAAACTCTCTTGATACTTAAAGAAATCCATATTAATTATACAAAAAAATGTTCATAGAGCAGGCAGCAATCACCTACTTTCAGCAGCAATTTTGTATTTTCCCTTTCCAGCAGAAAACATCACAGCTGGCTCACAGCATCTAGAAAAACTGAGAGGTAACTCAGTTCTTCTCTGTCTGACCCTGTTCTTGTATAGCTGCCAAGTCTGCAATCTATCTTACACAAGGACTAATTTGCCCTAAATGTCTCAGGGAGAAAGATTCCAAAGTCTCTCTGTAATCACTACTTAGACCTCCACCAACAGAAAATAATCCTCGAAAAACCCTCCTCACCCAACAGAGATGTATGTTCTCAAGCCAATATACAGGTTTCTCAATTTTAGTAACTGTAAACAGAAGCTCAGCATGTTCCAGCTACCGAGTTCGGTCAGCAACAACAAACCTCAATCTAAAGGACTAGTGACTAATCAAAAATCCAGTCTTTCTACAGGGAAAGAAAACTTCTCCATAGACAGAAGCACATCAGCCAAGAAAGCATGCACATTCCATGCTTCTACTTTCCAAGAGGAAAACATTCCACTTAACATGCTAAGTGCAGGAAGACATTGCTCAGAGCTTGTCCACTTACAAAGCAAACATGCTGAGAATTCAGCTAAGTCTTGGAAAGCAGGACAGAGCAAGAATAAAAGATGAATATGCAGAACTATGAAATAAGAAAACATAATGGACAGCAGAGTTCTTGTTTTAGCAACTGTATCTACAAGAAGAGATCTGAACAAAGACATCACCTTCATTAGTAAGACATGATGAGAGAGTCACTGCAAACTCCTGTAAGAAAGCACCAATTTGTTGTATGGTAACTATGGACAACACTGCTCGTGTGGTATCAACAAGCACAACAGGAGGCTCAGGACTACATCCATGAGTATTATCTTTAGGTAGCACAAATTTATAAAATATATTTTTATATGCTGTCTGCAAAGTTGAGACTATTTTCATAGCATTAAAATATTTTATAGCTTTTTTCATTAAGACAGCAGTATAAATAATAACTGATAAAGCTTTGCTGTCATTTAGCTGTAGAACACAAGACATTTTTACAGAAAGAAGGGGTCATGCACTTCCCACTTAACACATATAAACAACAAAAAGGATTCCTTTCTCTGGAGCAAAATGCTGCCAGTTCTTTCCAAATCTGTTCCACACCGAATCAGCCACCTGGCCAGCTCTATAGTCTCTATACAGTAATTATTATTGTACAGAGTTATTATTGTACAGAGACTATAAAATAAAAAAATAATAAAGTCTGTAAGATAATAACTTAGAGCTACCTAGTTCTCTCATTATCACAAAGGCCTTTATCTGGCATATTTAATTTCTTTTTAAACTACCTAAAAGCAAGATAAAAGTCAAAGCTGATCTGCAACATCCAAGCACTATGGGAAGAGCACTTCAGAAGAACAATGGACAAGTATGGTGGTTGTTTTGTTGTTTAATTATTTAAAATACATTAGGAGATATTTAGTCAGTGTTCTTTCTGCCTATCTAATTAAAAATTACAGCACAGACACGGGCATAAGGACTCAGCAGTCTTGCAGTCTTGAAAGAGGAAAATAATGGAGTTTGAAGCCTAATAGAATAAGTGTCTTGAAATGCAAATAAAGGGATTACCTTACAAAAAACTAAACAAAACAACAATACACATGAAACAGACAAAACCAGAAAAGTCAACAAAAAAAAATCCCAACCTCTAATTCACTCTGAGAAACAGGGAAGCAAGAAATTCAGCTAATTCCAGCTATAGTGATGTGATGTAAAATGCATTTTGTGAAGCCAGTCACAAAACATCTATAAGCTGCAGGCCTTTAGCTATCAGGAAGCTTACAGGCAGCTAGAAAAATGTATTATTCAGTTATCTTGTATCCTACAAGTATAAAACTCTTCCTGACTCTATCACACTAGGTCATACCAGTATAATTTTCAATGCAAATACAGTTAAAATCAAGTTAAGCAGAAGGGATTGAGAAGAGAGACTGATGCTACAAACTGGTGCTGTGTCACCTGCACACAAAAAGGCACATAGGATTTTTTTTAAGTGCTTCACAGAAAGTGTTGCTTTTCTACACAGTTTTCATACTGTGGAAACATCCACATTACTGCAAGCTGGCAAAAGAAAACAAAAACATAACTCCCGTAAATCTTTTTCTAGGCTGCTGTATGTAACATCAGACTTAAAGAGTAAAGCAATGTAAACACAGTAAACCTGGTCAGGGCATGCTGAACAGCCTGGGACATGGGAGCCCAAAGAGGCAGAACATTTGCCAGAGCTCTTCTGGCTTTTTGCCTTGCAAGCTGGAGCCAGGAGTCCCAGAGTTCTGGCCAGTTCTCAGCATTAACTTAATATTATCATGAAGTATTAGACCTTTTTCTTCATATTGATAAAGATGTCTAAGTACAACTGCTCAGAAGCCCTCCTTTGTTGCACTTCCCCTTTGGCTCTCTAGGCAACCATTAGCATGGCAAAAACAATAGCAGGAGAGAAGTAACTTCCATAATTTTGCCTTGGCATAACAACATGGTGTTTACTATCAGTGTCTATTCCCATGAGAAACCAGGTTTTCTCCAGTAGAAAAGGAGAAAGGAAGCCCTTTCATTTTACAACGGGAAGCTAGGTACAAAAATAGGAAAGATGGCTTGCTAAAAGTGTCCTTTTTTACTCTTATTTTTAATAATTCATGTCAACCCTATTTGTCAAGCCACAGCTATGATTCCTTGCATCCAAGTATTCAGGTCCTTTCCAACCTCTGAAAAACAACATAACAATCTTAAAAATTAAGAACTTTTTACTCTCTAAAGGATCCTGTTTACAAATGCTCTACACAGGTAATGGCACCTCGTCTTCAAATTCATTAAACCATGCACAACTTCAGTCAAAGCCTAAGGCTTCTTCTGATTATAGTAAGATTTCTGCTACTACTTCTTTGGAAGGGACCTTCATTCTCCTCTTCCAGGAAGACTGAATACGAGAAGATAAAATGTGTTGGATTGTAAACAAAACCCTTTTAATCTTGCCCATGCAAGAATTAACAAGCAGATACGTTTCACTAAATTCCTCTTCACAATTAAAACATTGAAAGAGTCACTGGTGCAGATCACATTAGAGTGACTGTCAGCCTCATACTCAATTACTCACATCATCTG